CGGGAGGTAGTGGTCATTGTAGTGGTATGTGGTGGTCGTGGTGGCAGTGGTAGTAGTAAAAGTACCCATAATACTAGTAGTAGTTGTAGTTGTAGTAGTAGTAGTAGTAGTAGTAGTAGTAGAAGAAGTAGTAGTAATAATAAGAATAGCAGTAGTAGGGGTAGTAGTAGTAGTAGCAGCAGCAGTAGTAGTAGTAGTAGTAGTAGTAGTGGTGGTGGTGGTAGTAATAGTAGTAGTACTAGTCGTAGTAGTAGTAGTAGTCGTCGTCGTCGCAGTAGTAGTAGTAGTAGTAGTAGTAGTAATAGTAGTACTAGTCGTAGTCGTAGTCGTAGTAATAGTAGTTGCAGTAGTAGTAGTGGTAGTAAAAAAATAGTAGTGACATAGAAGTAGTAGTAATAGTCGAAGTAGTGGGAGTAGTAGTAGTAGCAGTCGTAGTAGTAGTAGTAATAATACTGGAAGTGGAAAGAGAAGTAGTAGTGATAGTAGCAGTATCAATACTACTACTACGACTACTAGTCACAATAGTCGTGCTAATCGTCGTGGTGGTACTGGTAATAGTAGCAGCAGCAGCAGTATCAGTAGTAGTAGTAGTAGTAGTAGTAGTAGTAGTAGTCGTAGTCGTAGTCGTAGTAGTTGTAGTAGTAGTAGTACCAGTGATGGTAATAGTAGTAGTGTTAGAAGTATTAGTAGTATGTATGAGTAGTGATAACAGTAGTACGAGTACTAATAATGGTAGTAGTGATCGTAATCGTAGGCGTAGTGGTAGTAGTAGTAATGGTCGTGGCAGCCGTAGTATTATTGTTATGTATAGTAGTAGTAGTAGCAGCAGCAGCAGTAGTAGTAGTAGTAGTAGCAGTAGTAGTTGTAGTAGTAGTAGTAGTAGTAGTAGTAGTAGTAGTAGTAGTAGCAGAAGCAGTAAAGGTAGTTGCTGTAGTGGTAAAGGTAGAAGGCGTAATCGCAATCGTGGTCATATTAGTAGTAGTGGAACTAGAAGTGGCGGTAGCAGTACTAGTAGTAGTAGAAATATCGTTAATGGTGACAGTAGTATCGGTAGTAGTAGTAGTAGTAGTAGAAGTAGAAGTAGTAGTAGTGGTAGTAGTAGTAGTAGTAGTAGTAGTAGTAGTAGTAACCCGAGTCGTATTAGCGGTAGTAGCAGTGGCAGTAGCAGTAGCAGTAGCAGTGGTAGTAGTAGTAGTAGTAGTAGTAGTAGTAGTAGTAGTAGTAGTCGTAGTAGTAGTAATAAGAGTAGTAGTCGTAGTAGTAATAGTAGTAGTAGTAGCAGCAGTAGTAGTAGTAGTAGTAGTAGCAATAGTGGTGGTAGGGGTAGCAGTAGCAGTGCTAGCCGTAGTAGTAGGCGTATTCGTCGTAGTAGTAGTGGTAGTAGCAGTAATAATAGTAGTCGTCATAGTAGTAGCAGTAGTAGTAGTAGTGGTGTTAGTAGTAGTAGTAGTAGTAGTAGTAGTAGTAGTAGTAGTAGTAGTAGTAGTAGTAGTAATAGTAGTAGCGGTGAGACTACTAGTAATACTAGTCGTAAAAGCCGTCGTAGTAAAAGTAGTAGTCGCAGTAGTAGTGGTAGTCGTAGTAGTGGTAGTCGTAGCAGTGGTAGCTGTAGTAGTCGTAGCCGTACTAGAAGTAGTAGCAGTAGTAATATTAGTAGTAGTAGTAGTAGTAGTAGTCGTAGTAGTCGTAGTAGTAATAGTGGTGGTAGTAGTAGTCGTAGTGCTCGTAGCAGTCGCAGTAGCATTCGCATTCGTAGTAGTATTAGTAATGCAAGTAGTAGTGGTAGTAGTAGTAGTAGTAGTAGGAGGAGTAGTAGTTAGTAGTAGTAGTGGTGGTAGTAGTAGTAGTAGTAGTAGTAGTAGTAGTAGTAGTAGTAACAGTAGTAGTAGTAGTAGCAGTAGTAGTAGTAGTCGTAGTAGTAGTAGTGGTAGTAGTAGGTAGTAGGTAGTAGGTAGTAGGTAGCCGTAGCAGCAGTAGTAGTAGTAGTAGTAGTAGTCGTCGTAGTAGTCGTAGTAGTAGTAGTAGTAGTAGTAGTAGTAGATGTAGTAGTAGTAGTAGTAGTAGTAATCGTAGTAGTAGAAATCGTAATAGTACTAGTCGTAATAGTAGTAGTAGTAGTAGTAATAGTAGTAGTAGTAGTCGTAGTAGTAGTAGTAGTAGTAGTAGCAGTCGTAGCCGTAGTAGTAGTAGTAGTAGTAGTAGTAGTAATAGTAGTAGTAGTAGTGGTGGTGGTGGTAGTAGTAGTAGTAGTAATAATAGTCGTCGTACTAGTAGCAACAGTAGTAGTGGAAAAAGTACTAGTAGTAGCGGTAGTAGCCGTGGTAGTTGTAGTAGTAGCAGTAACATTAGTAGTAGTAGTAGTAGTCGTCGTAGTAGTCGTAGTAGTAGCAGCACTAGTAGTAGTAGAAGTAGTAGCAGTAGTAGTGGTAGTAATAGTAGTGGTAGTAGTCGCAGTAAAATAAAAGTGATAGTAGTAGTAAGAATAACAGTAGTAGTAGTAGTTGTAGTGGTATTAGTAGTAGTAAGTAGTAGGTAGTAATAAGTAGTAGTAGTAGTAGTAGTAGTAGTAGTAGTAGTAGTAGTAGTAGTAGTAGTAGTAGTAGTAGTAGTAGTAGTAGTAGTAGTAGTAGTAGTAGTAGTAGTAGTAGTAGTAGTAGTAGTAGTGTAGTGTAGTAGTAGTAGTAGTAGTAGTAGTAGTAGTAGGTAGTAGTAGTAGAAGAAGAAGTAGTCGTAGTCGTAGAAGTAGTAGTAGTAGTCGTAGTAGTAGTAGTAGTAGTCGTAGTGTAGTAGTAGTAGTAGTAGTAGTAGTAGTAGTAGTAGTAGTAGTAGTAGTAGTAGTAGTAGTAGTAGTAGTAGTAGTCGTAGTCGTAGTAGCCGTAGTCGTATAGTAGGAGTAATAGTAGCAGTAGTAGCAGTAGTAGCAGTAGTGGTGGTGGTAGTAGTAGTAGTAGTAGTAGTAGTAGTAGTAGTAGGAGTAGGAGTAGTGGTAGTGGTAGTGGTAGTGGGAATGAGGAGGCAGAGGAGGAGGAGGCGGAGGAGGGTGAGGATGAGGAGGAGGAGGGGCGGACAGGACCGTCTGGAGGATGCTGGCGAACAAGAGCGTGGGGAGCAACACGCGCGCCATCCTCGAGTGCTGGCGACAGCGCTTCCTGACGGCAGCCGTCCAACTGGACCGTCCGACGCCTCGAGCCAGAACAGCTCCTGGAGGAGGACCGCCGACTGATTCTGACGACGCCACGGGGGGGTCCGCATTCACGCAGACTGTGCACCCAAGAAGAGGGTCACGGAGAGGGACCCAGTGTGCACTCACAGGAGCCTTGGAGGGCGCACAGACGTCCTGAGGCATTCGAGGGACCCCGCATGTTTCAATTAGGATGACGAGCGAGCGGGAGACGACGGCGGAGGGAAATGAAGGGAGGGGGGAGGAAGGGGGAACGGGTTGGCCGATCTGCGCGAATGCCGCATCACATTCAGGGTGCCGTGGGAGAACGAAAGGCGAGACAAGATAAGAAACTCGGGGAGCCCGAGCCGACAGGGGCCGCACAGCCGACAGGGAGACTGTGCTTGCTGTGCGCCAGCACCTTCGAAAAAGCGCCCCCCATCCAGGAGGGGGCACTGGCCCAGCTGGCGCCCACAAAAGTACGCCGCCCCAAGAGGGGGCAGTGCGGCAGCACTCAGGCATGGGAGACCTGGGGGGGATAAAACACTGCGGACGAGGATGATGATGATGGTGATGATGATGATGAGGGGGAAGCAGCAGCAGGAGCGGGGAGAAGCAAGATGAGGAGCAAAAGGCCAGGGAAGAGGAGGATGCCAAGGAGGATGGTGATGATTCGGTGATGATGATGATGACGAGGAGGAGGAGGAGGAGGAGGAGGAGGAGGAGGGGGAGGAGGAGCTCGAGAGGAGGAGCGGCAGCAGGAGGCGACGCACGGGGTAGAACGGGCAGGGCGGGGAGGGGGAGGTTAGGGGAACGAGGGGGAAGGATGATGCGGCAGGGAGGAGGAGAAGCAGCGTATATATATATATATATGTATATATACATCTTATCATGTGCACATATTTATGTATGCATATATATATATACGCATGCACTTGACACATATACACATACATTCAATCGGACCTAGGCCAGACTAGCACCCTTCAAACACATGTGATCCTCCGTCGGCCAAAACAATAGGAATATCCAAGGGTACCCTCCCCAGGACACAAGAACGTCCCCCAAAAAAGAAGAACACTAGGGGACCCTTCCTGGACCGACCTCGATCTTAGACCTCGGCCCGACTGTTTAGGAAGCGCGACGCAAGCATCACCTCGCGGAGGTCCGCGCGGATCTCCTGGATCGGCGCGGCCCTCCGGCCGTGCCGGCCCAGGGGCATCGTGCAGCCTCACCATCATCACCATCATTGCCTTGCTCACCATCATCATAATCAAAATCAGCATCAGCATCAGCACTATCATCATCAGCGTCGTCGTCATCACCATAATCCCCATCCTCATACTCATCCGCATCCTCATCCTCCTCATCATCCTCATCCCCATCCACATCATCATCCCCGTCCTCATCCTCGTCCTCCTCACCCCCATCAGCAGCATCAGCATCATCATCAGCATCCTCATCATCATCGCCACCATCACCGTCATCATCATCATCATTATCATCATTATCATCATCAGCATCATCATCATCATCATCATCATCAGCAGCGTCATCCGCATCATCATCATCACCATCATCATCATCATAAGCATAACCATCATCGTGATCATACTTGGAATCAGCATCATCATCATCATCATCATCGTCGTCGTCACCATCATCCTCATCATCATCAGCATTAGCATCAGCATCATCATCATCGTCGTCGTCGTCAACATCGTCATCATCATCGTCATCATCATCATCAGGCCTGCTCTCCATCCTCCTCTTTCTCCTCCTCTCCTCTCTGCCCCCCGTGGTCACGTCCCCACCCCCCGGGTTCGCGGCTTCGCGGGCGGCCTCTCTTCTTGCTCCGCCTCCTCAACCTGCGCCTGGGGCTGGCGCGCGGGAAACAGCAGAGGATGAGGGGTAGCTTCAAGGCGAATCTCGGGACGAGGGGGAGGAGGGAGCAGGAGGGGGGGTGGGCTGCGGGGGGGGGGGGGCGTAAGGTGCGCAGCCGCCATTTTTCTATCGATCCTCCAAGGTGGCCCCACGAGGCACCTCCCCAGGGCCCCGAGAGGCCCCCAAGAGAGCTCCAACGGCCCCCAACACTGGCCCAACAAAGGCTCCAACATGGCACTGAGATGGCCCCAAGTAAGCTGCCAACCGGCTCCCAGATCGAAAGTTCAGCGAAAGCATTCAGGGTTGACTCCTTGGCCTGCCCTGGTTGATTCTGAGTTCCAGATTGACAGCTGCGCCCCCCCCCCCCCCCTCTCTGTTCCACTGCTTGCTCCTACACGCCAACAACTTCTATGTGTATGTGTACGGCTATGCATGTGCGCATGTGTAAAGATCGCGTGAGCATGTACACTGGGAGCATGGCCACAAGGAGGGTCAAGAATACGAGCCCCATTATCCAGCGCTGCGGATGCAAGGCCGGTAGGCACACAATGCACCCACACACACACCCACACACACATACCCCACGCCCACACCCCCACAAATCCACACCCTCACACCCCCACACCCAGACCCCCAGACCCCCAAACCCCCACACCCCAACACCCCCCCACACACACACCCCACCCCCACCGCCACCCCCACAGGCACGCACGCACGCACACACACACACACACACACACCCGCACACCCTCAACTCGCAGTCCCCCCCGCACCACACACACCACACACACACACACACACCAGCACACACACACAAGACACACACACACACACAACACACACACACGCGCACACACCCACGCGCAGACACACACACACATACACACACACACCCGCACACAACACACACACACAAACACAAACACACCCACACACGCACACCCACATCCGGACACACACACACACACCACACACACACATGTACGCACACACACACAGCCACACGCACACAGACACGCGCACACGCGCACGCGCATACGCACATCCGTACACGCGCACACGCACACGCACCCGCACACGCACACCAACACGAAAAGCGCACGCACACGCACACGCACACGCACACCCGCACACACGCACACACGCAAACCCGCACCCACACGCCCGCACCCGTACGCGCACGCGCAGGCGCACACGCACCCGCACACGCACCCGCACACGCACACACACACACACACACACACACACACGCACACCCACAGCCACAGCCACAACCACACCCACTCGCACATCCATACCGCCACCCACACCTACACCCACACCTACACCCACAACCACACTCACACCCACACCCACACCCACACCTCCTCCTCCTCCTCCTCCTCCTCCTCCTCCTCTCCTCCTTCTCTCCTCCCTCCTCTTATCCCCCCTCTCCCTACCCCCCCCCCCTGCGCGTGGCCGACGAGACCTAGCCCTCGACCCAGTGCCGTGGCCGACGAGACCTGCCCCCCTGCCCCCTCTGCCAGTGGCCGAGGCTCCCCGCCTCCACAGCTCTCGGAGGACCCATCGCTCCAGGGCCGTCTCCCGCGGTCTGCGGGCGGTCTCTTCGGCGGTCCTCTCACCGGGGGCGCGAATGAGTGGGGGGGGGGGGGGCGATACATGCGGTCGGGGGGGGGGGAATAATGGTACCCTCTTCGGGCCCTACAGCCGAACATGGGGGGGCGATAAATGAGAAGGGGGGGGGAGAAAGGTGCCCTCTTCGGGCCCTAGAGCCGAGAAGCTACGACCAAGAAGCTTATCTTTCACGAAGCCTGGGCCAGCTTCCTGGACGTTTCTAAAACACCTGGGCCAGCTTCTGTCGTTAACGCTGGAAGGGCGAACGTGCTCAAGAAACTGGGCCAGCTTTCCGGCAAGTTGGTGCAGAAACGCTGACCCAGCTTTTCGGGAGGAGGTGTAAGTCGGGCGTGTCCCCCTACACGGGTATTTTCGACTACTTTTTGACTATTTTTGAATATTCCCCCTGTAGAGGGACAGGCCCGACTTAAGATGAAGTCTTTCCATCAGAGGCCCGACCGTAAAGGCCTCCTTTGGGGCCCCAAAGGGCCCTCCAGGGGCCCTTGGGGGCCCCTTTTCGGCAGCCCTCGCTGCCGCCCCATGTATCCCCCCCCAAGTACGCGCCCCCCAAGACTCATGGTCTTCGGCGGTTTCCAGAGGTCTCTGCTGGTTTCTGGTGGCCTCTGGCGCGAACGCTGGATGGCTGCGTTCTACGCGGGGTCCACGACCAAACGGGCCGCGGCCCACAACCGGACCTAAGACAGACGAACATCCCTTAAGATCGCGAGACCCTCCGCCGGCCAAAACACACACAGAACAGCCAAGGGTACCCTCCCCAAGATGCACAGGAGCATCCGACAAGCACGAAGAACATTAGGGTACCCTCCCCGAATCGACCTCGA